ACTCATGATTCAAAGCCAAACTAATGTTTCCGGATTGTGATTTACCCGCGTTGCATCGTGCGGGTACACCACCAATATATATATAATCATTTATATATTATTATTTTAAGTTATATCATATAACTATTTTATACATATATTTTTTAATTATAATATATATACTACCTTATAAACCAGATTTTATAAAAGTCCTAAAAACAATTAATGCATAAAGTACTACACATTTATACATAAAGTCTATAAATGTCTTAAAACCAACTCATAATGCATAAGTTACAAGTTGTCAATACCAAACTCCAACTCAAAATTTATCTTCCCAAAGAGACCGCTCCCTGTCATACGTCCCCAAGGCCCAGGACGACAAATTAATCTTCCCTAAGTTGTTGATTCAATCTTCAATGTGATATTCATCGTTCAAAACCATTCTTAATTCGATTCTTGCTTCCATCTCCACTCCTAATCGTTTCTTGATAGCTTCTCTCATACAGTTAGGGTTTCCCTTAATCTTCTCCCAATTTGAGGTTAATACTTCTATTCTCTGATCTCTTCTTTGTCATTTTCAAATTCGGTTACGTAAAATAATTGATTAGGTTGGATGTTGTAGCATAGTCTGGAAAGCATAATTTGTTACTATATGGAACCTCAATCAAAGCATTTGCAAAATGTAAGCTGAGAACAAATAAATTATCTTGGTGTCTACCGAGAAAGTGTCAAAGGGTTTATACAAGTGTAAATACTTTTCTGAGGGAGTTCTTAAATGCTCTTTGCAACAATAGTTTTTTTTCAAGAATTTTGAGTACTTACTTTAATGTTTGGTTTACCTTTGTTGTCTTTTCATTGTACATTTGCGTCCAGATCTAACGCATATGAATTGTTTGGTAAAATGCCTAAGAGAAAGTAAACCATTGTTGTTATGTTTCCTGTGAGAAGATGATATATGTGTTTTTCAATTATTGACCGTAGGTGAGGTCTCGAGTCGAAAATTATTGACAACTTGCATTTTTGTTATACCCCTCTACAGGTAAATCTATTATGCTTGCTTTATGGAGCTCGAAGTTTTTCTCACCCCAAAAGTAATTTCTTGCCTTTTGATTATTCATATGGTTGATTCATTGTGATATTTATTGTTAATATAGTTTTCTCGCCAGAGCATTCCGCACGCCAAAGATACTCCTGGATCTTAAGTTTCACGTGATAGTGCACTGGTATGTTTTGCTTTGAGGTGTGGATTGATGTAGTTGGTTATTCTGCCTATTTTTTTTATCCTTCTCAAATCAAGCGTGTTGGTGTTAATTGAGTGTTCTAAGGTATCATGTAAAGAACTTTTTCAAGTGCTCAATAAGTTAAATATTGCATCGAAGATTTGTTTTTATATGAATACTACTATTTCATTATATGGTACTCTACTTGTGATTTTTCCAACTTCTATGGTTAATCAAGTTGATGAACATAACAAGTGAAATGGTTCTCAATCATGAAAAGTAATCAACTTTCTATGAAGTGATAAAAGAGGTTCAAGCCAAAGGAGTCATTTACAGGGTAGGTAGCAACAACATTAAATTTTCATTAAGTTAAAGAGGACCTACAGTATCCTTGTCAGCCTACAGTATTCGTCTCAATCATGGAACTCCATGTATAGTGCCAGTTCGTTGACCAAACCTTCGACTCTCATTAGGGAAGAATATCCTCAATGGAAAACTCGGATGATAAATTTTTATGAGGGTATTGACCTCGAACTCTACGAGTCAATTTTAAATGGTCCCTATGTCCCTACCATTCCTCGTATTCCTGCTGCTGGTGATACGGTT